AGGCTGGGCTCAAACTCACAGAGATCCACCTGCCTCTGATTGCCTAGGCTCTTGGTTTTGTCCTCAGTGCTGCATTTTGTGCACACCTTCAATCCTAGCACCAGGGAGGTGAAGACAGGAGGACCAAATGTTCCAGGTCTTCCTCAGGTACATAAGGGGTTAAAGGCTAGCCTAGGCTAGAGTTTGTAAATAAGTAAATGAATAAAATGGAAGTGATTTTTAGAGCTGTCTATAAATAGAAAAACATCTGGTGACTATTGAGAGAAGACTAGCTATTACCTGGGATACGTTTTCAGGTTCACTGGAATCTGTCAAAGAACTAACGCTTTCCTCCCCCCTCCCCCATAAATTGACAAATCGGTTGTAAAATTCTTTATGGAAAAAAATTACCAAGAATAGTTAAAACAGCTGGGTAGGGGTGGCACACAACTGTAATCTCAGCATTTGGGAGGCAGAGCCAAGTGAATTTCTTTTTCTTTTTCTTTTTTTTTTTTTTTGGTTTTTACGAGACAGGGTTTCTCTGTATTGTTTTGGAGGCTCTTGGTCCAGCCCAGCCTCGAACTCACAGAGATCCGCCTGCTCTGCCTCCCGAGTGCTGGGATTAAAGGCAAGCGCCACCACCGCCCAGCCAAGTGAATTTCTAAATTCAAGGCCAGCCTGGTCTACAGAGCAAGTTCCAGGACAGCCAGGGCTATTACACAGAGAACCCCTGCTTCGAAAAACAAACAAACAAATAAATAATAGTTAAAACAGTCTTGAAGAAGGACCAGAGTAGATGCTTCACACTGATTTATTTTAAGCTTATGCAGTTTAGTTGGGTTGGGAAAATGGCTTAGTGAATAAGATTGTAAGATTGCTTGCTGCTCGAGTATGAGGAATTGAGTTAAAAAACAAACACCCACCAAAAAATTGAACATGGCTACACATGCTTGTGACCCCACTGTTGAGGGTGGAGATCCACTGGATAACTGTATAGCCTACCCAAAAAGGTAAGCTTCCAGTTCTGTTTTTTTTTTTTTTAATTATGCATGTGAGTGTTTGTCCTCTGTGTGTGCACACCATATGCATGCATGGTCTATCTCCTGGGAACAGAAGAGGGCATCAGATCCCCAGGAACTGTAGTTAGAGGCAGTTGTGAGCCCTCATATGCGTGCTGGAAATGGAACCTGGGTCCTGGAAGAACAAGTGCTCTTAATGACTGGCTATCTCTCTCTCCCTGAGAGACCTTGTCTGAAAGAAATAAGGTAAATAGAGATAAAGGAAGACACTCAACTGGCCTCCTAGCTTCTGTATACATAGGTATGAATATGTACCCACATAGTCCATGCGCATGTACCACACACACACACACACACACACACACACACACACACACACACACACACACAACAGTTAAATGTAAAGTAGTTGAAATGGCCAAGCATGACCTATAATCCCGACTCTCTAGACATTGAAGCATTGAAGTTTAAGGGATAAGGTGAGATTTCTTTTAATGGCAAATGTTGTGCTCTTCAGATTTTACTATAAAAAAACAAAAAATTAGGTGAAGCTGCAATAATCAAGACAGTGTGGTAGTAGCCTAAGGGTTGATTTCTGAGATGATGAGAGAGTAAGAGTCCAGAAGTAAACATCTAAAAGGAGTTGATTTCAACAAAAGCATCATGGCCATTCAGTGGAGAAGTAAATCTTTCTAACAAGCAGTGCTATGTTGCTATGTGTACATGGATTTGTATGTACAAAAGTTAGCTCAATAAACCAAAGATCCAATTATAGGTACCATTGTATGTGAATCTGGAGTAGGCTGTGGCCTTTTTCATATGACACTACATTTCTGAACAATAGAATATCATTGAATTTCAGGAAATTTAGTCTTTGGTTTCCCCCCATTAAATGCCATCATCAAAAGAGTGACTAGAAGGTGGCTGGCATGGTGGCACATGCTAGTAATCCAGCACCTGCAAGATTTACAGAAGGATCTTGAGTTTGAGGCTAGCCTTAGCTTTATTGCCAAACCTGGTTAGTAGATTCGGTGGGTAGGTAAGTAGATGATAAATGATAACTAGCTAGTTAGCTTCAGAGAGGTGGAGGGAGAGAGAAGAAGGAGATTGGTAGATGATTGATGGATAGAAAATTAGAAGACCATAAGATGGGAGAAAAAAAAGATACAAAATATACATCCAATTTAAGGACTGTTATCCAAAATATACAACCCCTCCCTCCATGTGTTCATTGGTGCTTTGGGATCAAACCCCAAGACCTTGTTTACATGACTAGGCAAGATCCATTCCTCTGAGTTTTATCCTCAGGCCACAAAGAATTTTTTTTTGAGACAGGGTTTCTCTGTGTAGCTTTGGAACCTGTCCTGTAGACCAGGCTGCCTCCCGAATGCTGGGATTAAAGGAGTGAGTGCTTCACCACTTCCAAGCTCATAAAGAACTCTTTTAAACTCAGTAAGAAAATGAACAACACAGTTAAAAAATGGGCAGAATTCCTGAACTGACATCTTGTAAAAGAAGAAACAAAGGAAATACACACTTGAAAGGCACTAGGTGTTGTGTGTCGTTGGAGAGTTGCACCTTAAAGTGATGACAGGGTGCAGCACTGATGCTTGCTGGGCTGAGGAGCATGCAGTTTCTTACAGAAGCAAGCGTACTCTCACCACACTTTACAGAACTCATATTCCTTAGACTGTTGCCCGGAAACCTTCACACACATTTACGTCAGCTGTGGTAGAAACTAGATAAGCTGGTACATCCCGGCAACAGAATGTCTAAGTCATTGCTAAAAGAGACATTACTGACTGGGTAGTGGAGGCCCATGCTTGTTATTCCAGCATCTGGGAGGCAGAGGCAGGAGAATCTCTTAAGGCCAACCTGATCTGCAGGGTGAGTTCCTGGACAGCCTGTTACACACAGACAGAAATCCTGTCTTGAAAAACAAATAATAAAAAAATTACTCTTTACTGCTTATAATTCCAGCACTAGGTTGATGTAGTCAAAAGCTTGAAGCTGGCCATAGGGAAAAGATTCAGTCAGTAAGTTGCTTGCTTACAACCACAAGGACTGAAGAACCTAGATAAAAATATGCCAGGTCTGGTAATACATACTTAGAATTTCTAAGCTATTGGAAACAAGGATCTCTGGGGCTCACAGTCTAGCCTAATCTAGTGAAAAAGTGGACAGGCTTCCTGAAGATAGCACCTATGGGTTTCTCTCCAGCCTTCACAAGTACATGCATTAGAAATAAAAAATATAGAAAGTCCAGCAAGATGGTAAGTGAACCTGATGATCTGAGTTCACTTTTTGGGACCCACATAGAAAGAGAAAACTCAGAGCTGGAGAGATAGCTCAGAGCATTGGCTGCTCTTCTAGAGGCCCAGAGTTCAATACCAAGCAACCACATGGTGGCTCACAACCATCTGTAATGAGATCTGTGCCCTCTTCTAGCATGCAGGTGTACATGCAGGCAGAACACAGTATACATAATAAATAATTCTTAAAAAAATAAGAGAAAACTGACACGTTATCCCCTGACACACACACCCCCATACACACACATGTACACATAAATACATAAATGTAATCTAAAGTTTGAGACAAGTCTGGATCACATACTGAAACACGTTCTCAGTATTTAAATAGATAAATAAGGCCGGGCGTTGGTGGCGTACGCCTTTAATCCCAGCACTCGGGAGGCAGAGGCAGGCGGATCTCTGTGAGTTCGAGACCAGCCTGGACTACCAAGCAAGTTCCAGGACAGCCTCCAAAGCCACAGAGAGACCCTGTCTCGAAAAACAAAACAAAAATAAATAAATAAATAGATAAATAAATATGCGTCAAAGAGGAAAATCAAGAGGTACTTGAGGCCACCCTGGGCAACATAACATTTCCAAGGAAAATATAACTGAAAAATTATTCTTTTTTAAAGTTGTTGCTGTTGTTGTTTTGTTTTTCAAGACAGGGTTTCTCTGTATTGTTTTGGAGGCTGAAAAACTATTCTACATTTGTTTATTTCGTGTATGGGCACACACATGCCATGGAATGCATGTGAAATCAGAAGACACTCTGGGCTATCTCACTTGTTCAAAAAATAAAATGCGTTAAAAAACGTAGGGCCAAGACAGAGAAACCCTGTCTAAAAAAAACCCACATAGGGCCAGATTTGGTGGCTTAGGCCTTTAATCCCAGCACTCAGGAGGCAGAGTCAGGCAGATCTCTGTGAGTTCAAGGCCAGCCTGGTCTACAGAATGAATTCCAGGATAGCCAGAGCTACCCAGAAAAACCCTGTCTCAATAAAATAAATTCTCTTGAAGGGCTGGAGAGATGACTCAAGTCATTAAAAGCACTGGCTGTACTTGCAAATGACTTGGCTTCAATTCTCAGCACCTGCATGGTGGCTCACAACTATAGCTCCAGTTCTACGGAGTTCATCACCCTCTTTTGACTTCTCAGGCACCAGACAGGCACACAGTGCATAGATGTACATGCAGGCAAAAACCCCGCATACATAAAATGATTTTTTAAAATAATAGAATAAAAAGAAACCCAGCAAAGGTTTACTATATTCATTAAATTCTTGCCAGACACTAAGCTATTCCTAAGCCATGAATAAGAATATATAGAAAACAAAATGGGTGCCTGTGTCGGGTAGAGCACCTGTCCAGCGTTCATTTAGCCCAGCACTGCTGACGGAGAGAAAGAAAGCCACTGAGTGTGCTTGTGTTTGTCACAGCAGCATTTCCATAGGAGGAGGCAGGGGTGTCTGGCAGGGCTACCCAGTGAGACCTTGTCTCAGAACCCAAAAGGAACCAGAGAAAGCCATCCATTAAGGTGAACAGCTGGTTAGAAACTTTAGCAGAGTACTTGCCCAGTGGTTTGGGGACCTGAGTTCTATCCATAGCTCTGTCGACAAGGAATGCAATGAACAGGATTTTGACTTTTCAACTTAAAAGGAATGTGTGAGTGGAAGCAGGCATGAAGAATCCTTTTTTCTCTTTTCAGGTTAAAGAAGAAAGAGTTTAGTTTAGAAGAAATATATACAAACAAGAATTACAAGTCTCCTCCTGCAAACAGGTAACTCCTGTGGCTGGCTTAAGGGGTGGTGCTAGAATGACTGCTGCCTCTCACCTCTCTCACTTAGACATTTCTATCCATCTCTACCAGGAGTGGGTGGGGTTTTGTTGTTTTGTTTTTTGTTGTTTTTTTGGTGAGGCAGTCTCATTATGCAGACTTGACTAGCTGAAAATTCACAGATCTACCTGCCTCTACCTCTCGAGAGCTCTGGGATTAAAGGTGCTCCATGTCCGGTCCAGTACTGGGCTTTAGAAATAGCTGAACTTGGGCTGGAGAGATGGCTCAGTGGTTGAGCACTGCTCTTCCGGAGGTCCTGGGTTTGATTCCCAGCAACCCCATTGTGTCTCACAGTCATCTGTAATAAGATATGGTGCCCTCTTCTGGCCTGCAGACAGAACACTGTATGCATAATAAATAAATAAATAAATCTTTAAAAGAAATAGCTAGAATTGGGGTTTGGGTTCCAAATCCTTGAATCAGAAAAGAAGTGTTTGTGGGATTCTGTAGGCATAGATGTCTATTTACCTTGCACCTGTGTTTTACTGAATACACAGACTAGCTTCATCTGTGCTGTTAATTACTGTTTCAACCATGATTTCAAGCCCAAATACAGAAGCAGAGTCACTTGGCCACTTTTGGGTAAGTTTGAAGCAGTGACAGTTATTGACTATTTTGTATGGAATAAAGGAAGAGAGTCCTGGTAATTTATCCCAAGATTTTGTACGTGGGCTCTGCCTAGAAAGACATTTACTTACAGGAGACTATTCATTGCAGTGTTGCTAAGTAATAGGAAAGAAATGGGAAAAACTGAAAGTGCATTACTAGTGTTCTCATTCCACTTTGGTCTGTTTTATAATGAAATATAGTACATAGTTGTTGAAAATGAATAGACAGTGTTGTATTATATGGAAACAAGCTGTGGGGTCTATCCTAAGTAAGAGGGGCCCCATGTGCAGGACAGTGTGTTTTGTTTGCTGTTGTTGGGAAATGTACCATCACTTAGCAAATTCTAGGCCTATTCAAGGCTTGTCCCTAAACCCAGTGACCCTCCCTCCGCCTTCCTGGTAGTTGGTATTATAGACTTGCATCACCATACCTCACTTTCCTCTTTTGTTACTGTTGTTTGGCCGGTTTTGAGACAGGATTGATCTGTATGATCCTGGCCATCCTGGAACTTGCTCTGTAAACCAAACTGGCTTCCAACTTAGAGATCCACTTACCTCTGCCCCTCCTGAGTGCTAAGATTAAAAGTGTGTGCTTCTGTGGCCCAGCCTAAATATCCTTTTTTTTTTTTTTAAGACCATGCTGAAAGCTAGGTGGTAGTGGTGCACACCTTTAATCCCAGCACTCGGGAAGCAATGGCAGGTGCATCTGTGAGTTGGAGGACCAGAGGGAGTTCCAGGACAGCCAGGGCTACACAGAGAAATCCTGTCTTTAAAATACTTTAAAAAAAAAAAAAGCCGGGCGTTGGTGGCACACTCCTTTAATCCCAGCATTCAAGAGGCAGAGACTGGTGGATCTCTGTGAGTTCAAGACCAGCCTGGTCTACAACAGCTAGTTCCAGGACAGCCTCCAAAACCACAGAGAAACCCTGTCTGGAAAAACCAAAAAAAAAAAAAAAAAAAAAAAGTTGGTGTTGCAGTCCCTCATGTGTAGTAGACAGATGCTCTATATCCCTACCCACCAGTTTTCATTTGTTTTATTTTTTATTATTTTTGTGGTTTGTGAGCTAATAGATTTGTTCACAAAAGGAAAACTCAGAATTGAGGTAGAGGTCCTTATGGCTCATGGAAAGTAACAGGTTTACTGTCTGGAGCCTGGTATGGTAGATGAGCATGTCTGTTATCTAAACCCTTGGAAGGCAGAGGTGGGGTGGTCAGGAATTTAGGGTCATCCTAAGCTGCATAGGGAGTTCAAAGCCAGTCTGGGTTGTGTGACAAAAGATTTGCTGTTTGCCCAGTGTCAACTACTGTGTTACTTAAATGTGTCTACATATTGACTTTGAAGAAAATACACAAAATGAGCAGTTACCAGTATTATACATACTGGAATGAGGAACTAGTTTCAATTTTTCTGTATACCCTTAAGTTTGAACCTTCTACCTTTGTGCACATATTTATAAAGCGTGTGTGCTTTTTCCTATGCATAGAAATAGCTGGCCACAGGACAGAGTCATGTTGAGAATCGATGCGGGCAGCTTTTGGTTGGTGTAGTAGTCCAGACAGGCTCTGAGTCCATCTGTTAGTGATCTAGTTGTGCTCTGTCCTCAGGTGTTTAGAGACCATCTTTGAGGAACCCAAAGAACGAAATGGTACACTCATCTCTGTCAGCCAGCAGAAAAGGAAGCGTGTCCTAGAATTCCAGGATTTTACCATCCCCCGAAAGAGACGAGCTCGAGGCAAAGTGAAGCTGGTGGGCAGCTTCACCAGGGCCCAGAAGGCGGCTCTGCAGACTCGGGAGCTGGATGCGCTTTTGATTCAGAAGCTGCTGGAACTGGAGACTTTCTTTGCCAAGGAGGAGGAGCAGGAGCAGTCAGCAAGCTGCTGAGAACACCGCAGGGTCTCCATTTGAATCTTTTCAGAACTCCCTGAAAGAGGTTCCCTGATTTTGCCCTATGCCCAAACCACTCACAATGCCCAGTCGGTGAATTTTTACTTATTTCAAGGTGCAGCCTTTTTAGGAGCTGTTGAAGAAGGCCCTCTAATTCTACTGCTGAGTATAGAGCCTCAGGAATGCTCCCTTTCTCCTGGGAATGGTCCTGAGTGGCATCAGGCCACCTCCTTCCCTTCTCTCTCATCACAGGTGGAAGAAGCCACACATCTTAAGCAACACTAGGAATCTAAGGACTCGGTGTTTGTGCATCCACGTGAAAGTTCCTCTCTGTTTATGGTGCTGCTTGACCAAGACGTAGAAATCCAGCCTGGGGGGCTCCTGGCCACGTGGCCTGTGTGTTCCCACCAGCTCCTTTCAGTGGTTGAGAAGGAATAACTGAGTCTGTCTGCCCAGGACCTTTAGTCTGAAAGAATGTGTGTTTGTGTGTTTGTGGCTTTTCCCCATCTTTCTCCCATCTGTGACTGCGGGTCACTAGTGCCAGAGGAGCCCGTCCAGGCCCCAATGTAAGTTGCACTTTTTTAATGTTGTGGTGTTGATTATTTTCCCTTTTTTGTTTTTATATTATTGCTGCATGTTTGGGGTCTCTAAATGTGATTTTAAACACTTTGTAAGACATTAAGGAGAAAGACAATGCATGTCTTAAGAGAACTTGTGACAGGCATTTGATCAGCACATTGATAGGGGCGTGTTTCCATTCATGTGTTTCAGGCAGCCCCTCCCTGTCTCCCGCTTCTCATGTAGCTCATTAGAGGAAGCACTTTTTCATCCTCCTTCCCAGTCTTGCCCACTTAGCACACATACCTGGTTAGTGACGTGTAAAAGCAGACCTCTCACATAACCATTTTAAGAAGATTAAGGTTGAGTGTGGTTTTTCTCTGAAATGACGGAGTTGGGAACAGTGGTGCTAGGGGCTGACCTAGAGCATTTCTTGAATGTCTGCTTCAGGAATAGGAGAGAGTTAGTTGATTGACAGATGAGACCTAGCCATCCATCCCTTCAGCAAGATCCCCAATCCCAGAGCCAGTGCTCTCTGAGAGTGCCTCATGAACTCTGGTCCTTTGTCAAACCTACTGGAAATGATTGCATGCTGGAAGTAGTGCAGTTTCTAGGGTTGTCCCAGAAAGAGTCTGCAGGCAGTAGGCTGCCGTGTCTGAGCAGCAGCCCCACAGAGCTGTCTTCCCACCGTGCCCTCACCATGCCACCTCCTTTCCTCATGTTTTCTCATTCCTGCTCTTTACAGCTATCCCACAGTTTGTGTTCCAATAGTTACCATTCCTGGCTGATGAGTAAGATGCTCAACCCAGCCATTGGACACTGGTCACCTCTTCCCATCCTCCCAGCTCAGTCCAGGGATGTTTCCTGTCTGTCTGAAGAGAAGAGTGAGTGGTGCTGTGCTGGAATGTTAACCAGTACTCCTAGGATTCTTTCATCCTCTTGTTTAGTAGCCAGGGAGAAGGGTGAAGCTTTGAGGTCTTTTTGTGCCTTTTTTTGTAGGTGGATGGTCTGGGCCACACTAGAACAGAAAAATAAACATGAGCAGAGGGGAAAAAAATGTACTATGACCTTTACCACCCCAGCTGTTAAATAAGTTAACAGGCACATGCTTGTCTGGGAGGCTTTGAAGGTCATGACCCCATAGGATTAGAAGAGTGGGCTACCACACTGATCCTCATTGATGTGTGCAGATCCTCCTGTTTTACCCGTGTTGCCTAGACCATACAAATGTGGCCTCTGTTCACCTCAGTACCTCTCCCTTCCTGGGGCAGGATTCTTAGATACTCTGTGATCCGAACTCTGTCCTGTTACTGCAGGAAGTACTAAGACACTGTACATTAGACAGCTTTCAAGCTAGCAGGCAGTAGGCGGCCATTCATTAGTCTCACTACCAGATCACCCAGGAGACAAGAGATGAGGTGTGCACAGCTGTGGCACCAGCAGCATGACAGCAGACCTTCAGGATTTGCCCATGACAAGTAGGGCACTTGAAAGGCTGGGAGCACATCTGAACAGTGGCAGAACTAGAGAGATCCAGTCCATCCTTGCCCTGGGAATGTAGGGGGAGCAGCAGTTCTTGGCCTTCCCTTAACAGGCTCTTCTACTTCCAAGCAAAGAGAAGTTGACTCATTGGGTCAGTCCATACTCAGCCACACCTGTCACACTGTCCACTTTCACTCTGATCGACCAGCCTCAGGGACACATCAGTGTCCTTGGAACCCGTGGCCTCTGACTATGAAGGGAGATACTGGCGGTTGGCATGTCACCTGCCAGGACTACGGATCTGTTCTGTGATGGGAATTGGTAGAATTTCTAAGGATGGGGTGTCCCCACCCCAAGTATTGAAGTCGCCATTAAGCACAACTGAATAGCGCTTACCTCTGAAGTTACGGCTATAGGGAAAGGAGAGAGCTCAGGTCTAACCAGATGTCAGCCATTTCCTTTGCCGTCTTTGAGTTTCCAGCTGTAACAGCCTCCTTCCCTCCGTTAGTGCCTCTCTTTTTTTCTGTCCTGCTGTCCTGTCCAGCTTTTCTCTCTGTTCATCTAGATGTACCTCATCACCTGTTAAAGCAGATTGCCTGCCTGCCTGCTGCCCTTACTGTAAGAGCTGACTGAGGGGGGAGGTGCAGTGGAAAGATGTGTAGCTTTGCCTTACTCGAGCCTGAAGAGCTCAGAAACTCATGCTGTGAATCCCGAACTTTGTGCTCCTCCAAGAGCTGTGAAAATCATGACTTTTTTTTTCTCACAATTTTGCCTGAAAGGGTCTTCTGTGAGGGCTCCAGAGCCAACCTGAGGTCAATTTTAGATCCCACTCTGTGGGCATCCTTCCCTGGGGTATATCCCCTGCCCCCCAGGCTTAGAGCAGCAGCAAGCCTGCGGGACTGTGGCAGCAGGTCCAGGGCTGCAGTGCAGCCAAGAGGACATGGCCCTTGACCTCCCAGGCTGGGGCCCCACCTGCTCTGTGTCGTGTGCATTAAGATCTGTGCAAGACCAACTTGTAGGTTGTGATACTTTCCTCCTGGCACCTGAGGGGAGGGGAGTGTGCAGTTGGTGCTTTCTTTGATCCCCTTGTTTTATTTCTATAGCTTTTCCCTTGGTATCATGAAAAGGGCCTTTGTAATGACCACACAATAGGTGGCTGTATCCAAAGCATAAATAATTGGCCAGAGGTATGGAATGTCCTCACCTGGACTCCTGTCAAGGAGAGGGCTGCTTTCCTGAACTGAACTTCTATATAGAACTGGCTAGGGAGACTTAGTTTTGTTCAAGTCACAATTAATAGTCCCTTTTAGCACACATTGAGCAGCGAGGCTTTCTTGATTGTGAAGCTGGGGTCCTCGTGTGGCAACCGTCCAGCACAGCATGCTGAGATTCAGGCTTGTTCTGTCTTTACGAGACTGACTGTCTGGTGTTGAACTGGGTTTGAATTCTCAGCAAGAGGCCCCCTTGAGCTGGTATCTGGGCCAGTAAGTTGCTGTCCCCAGTGTTCCTATATTATCATGGCTAATAGTTCAGTGAAATGTGTCCATCTTTGGTAATGTCGGTATACATGATGCCCCTACAGTTCCTTTTCTGTTTGATAGTTTGTGACTCTAAATGCCCACTGTTACATGAATTAATTTATGAAAATAAATTTTTCTTGAAAACCTTTCAGATAATTGTCAAGGCTATTTTGTTCTTAGGGTTTAATAGTAGATTAAAATTTTGTCAGTAATGATCCAAGGGTTAGGTTTTTGTTGTTTTTAAGTTGACATTCCAGAGCCTTGTATCAAGCATTGTCCATTCCAGAATGGTCACCCTTTCCCAAAACCTACCCCCTGTTTGGCACATGTCCAGAGTTCCACCTTTGGGTAGCCTCCAGAGGCTCGCAGAGCTTGGTGAAGCTGTCAGTGGTGGCCAGTCATCCCTTTCCCTAGGGTACCTAGGGACAGTCTGTTGCAGCAGTGTCATATCCAGTTAAATTAAATCACTGGTGAAGTATTTTGATTGTGATTTTTGGGATAGGAGTGTGTTGTTTGAGACAGGATCTTACTATGTAGCCTCACATACCATAAGAGGTCCATTTAGTGTTCTGTCCATCTTCTCACAGCCTAGCCTGACCCAGAACTCAAGATCTTCCTACATCAGTCTGTTGGGATTACAGGCAAACTGCAGTGGGCTAGGTGTGGAGATTTGGGCCCGTACTCCTAGCACCGGGGAGCATAAGGCAAGAGGATGGCCACAAGCGCAAGGCCAGTCTGGACAATAGAGCGAGGCCCTATCTCAGAAAACAAAACCAAATGAGTACTGCAACTCACTTTCTCATATGACAGAGGAGCCAGTGAAATGTTCATATGTGAGGACTGTCTCTGAAGTATAAATCTAGCAGGCTCCATTCATGTAGTTTTGAAACTGTCCCTTCTCCTCACCTGTCTTCCTAGTTGAGTGACTCGAACAGTTTGTGACAGTGCAGTGAAAGCGTCCTTTTCTTCTCACCACGCAAAAGCAGTGCCTCGATTTCCTTTTGGGCTCTGAGCTTGAGCACAAGGAACTCCATCCACGCCATGTTTCCTGCTTGAGAAATGTCCGATGGCTGTGCTGCTGTGTGTCAAAGAGCACTTACCCACACACAGCTAATTGACAACTAAGGCATTGCTACTAGACATCTCCCATCCCAGATTCTTGGCATTGGTGACTCCTCCTGAGTGAGAGGGCTAATCCTGATGCAAGATTTCTCCAGATGAGTTTAAATGATGGACTCATTTGTGGAAAACTCATTTGTACAATTCTTCTGGAACTTCTTTCAAGAGATGTTCTAGAAAAGTCCATGTGAACGGGCTTCAGCCTGGGCCCTGGTATTCAGGAGTGGATTAGAAACGCTCCCACCACATCCCTCCCATTCCTGCATGCTTACCTCTGTCACTTCACTCAGATCTCTGCATTCCCAGACCATTGGTCTTGAAAGTGGTCCCCTCCGATTCCATGTCCCCTACCCCCACCCCTCAAGGCTTTTTGTCGTGGCACCACCACCTCCTCGTCTGTGTTAATAACTGTAATATGAACTCTTCAAGATCAGGACCTTTTGTTAGCTCTAGTCCCTCCTGGCCTCTTTGGTATCTAGAACAATGTTTGATATTTACAACTGTTTACCGCCTAAACATTTTGGTCAATAAACTGCATATTACCATAAGATAGTAATGGAGCTGAAAATTCCTGTGGCCTATCAAGGTTACAGCTGTCATGATATAATGCAGTGTATTACTCAGGTCTTGGTGTTGGTGCAAACAAGCCAGTGTGTTGCTACTCGTGTAAAAATGTAGCACAGTTGTGTACAGTACATAATTGATAGTGCTAATAAATGACTTACTGATACATGTAAGTTTTTATTGTACTAGAGTATATTGTTTTTATCTAGTTTTCTTTTTCAGTTTTATTATGTATACAGTGTTCTGCCTAGATGTACACCTGCATGCCAGAAGAGGGCACTAGATCTTATCATACATGGCTGTGAGCCTCCATGTGGGTGCTGGGAGTTGAACTCAGGACCTCTAGAAAAGCAGGCAGTGCTCCCAACCTCTGAGCCATCTCTCCAGCCCCTTTGTTATTGAGAGACAGTCTCACTATGTAGCCCTGGCTTGCCTGAAACGTACTATGTAGTACAGTCTGACCTCAAACTCACAGAGTGTTGTGGGTAAAAGAGCTTACTGGACAACAAGCAGCAGCCTCAGCATCCCATGCTCCGTGTGTTAAGAAGCCACACTAGGTCAGGGGTGTAGTTCCGGTGATACAGCAGTTGCCTTGCGTGTGCAGTGTCTCAGGTTCCGTCTCCAGTTCACCTCCCTCCCTCTAAAAGCAGCCATCCTGAATGACAGACTTGTACCACTGTGGGCATTCACAATGTGACATTCACACAAAGAAATCACCTAAGCAACATCTAAGGACACATTTCTCAGACTGTCCCTGTGCATGATGAGGTGATGGCCCCTCAGAAAAGCTTCATGAATAGATGAGTGGCTTTCCCATGTATGGCTGCTGTATAGACTGGCCCAATTCCATTGCAATGGCTCTTTTAATACTTAAAGATGACAGCCGGGCATTGCTGGCTCACGCCTTTAATCCCAGCACTTAGGAGGCAGAGGCAGGCGGATATCTGTGAGTTTGAGGCCAGCCTGGTCTACAGAATGAGTTCCAGGACAGGCTCCAATGCTACACAATGAAACCCTGTCTTGAAAATACAAAAACAAAAAGAAAAACACATGAAAATGGCTTGATCTCTTCCTCCCTGCCTCCCTCCCTCCTCTCTCTCTCTCTCCCTCCCTCCCTCTCTCTCTCTCTTTCTCTCTCTGTCTCTCTCTCTCCCCCCCCTCTCTCCCTCTCCTCTCTCTCTCATTCCTTGTCATTCCTCGAAGAGCCTGTATAATGGCTGCTCGGGTTCTGATAACACCCAGTGTCTGGCTATATGCAGTTCCAGGAGCAGACACTCGCTGAAGGCCTTCCCCCCTTTGATTGGCTTACTGGAAGTGAGATCAAATTGGAGTCACCTACTTGGGTATACATGTCAGGATGGTAAAGTTGGATGTTTACTTGTGTAGGAATCCTTTTAAAGGTTTCTCCCTGCCTCTTTTACACACACACACACACACTTTTTTTGTTTTCATTTCCTGAGACAATGTCTCACTGTATAGCTGCCTCAGCCACCTGAGTAATGAAGTTTGCAAGTGCATGTCACCATGCCTACCTTAAAACAATACTGCTTCCTTTTTTTAAAAATTTTAATATTTTAAACTATGTGTATGTATGTAGGGGATTGGGGGGTATATGCACATGAATGCAGTACCTGTAGAGGCCAGAGGTACCAGATAGGAAGCTTGAGTTACAGGTAGTTGTGAGATGCCTGACATGGGTGCTGGGAATCGAACTCGGAAATTCTCATGCGTCTGCCTCCTGAGTGTTGGGATTAAAGGCATGTGCCACCACTGCCCAGCCAGACCTGGTCTTTCTATGTCTCTTTGACTTCTCAGGCCCCATGAGTTCAATGGGCCTCTTCTGTCACATGTTGTCACCATGATGAACTATGCGTGCCACCATAGGTTCAAAGCAATGGCCAACTCGAAACCTCTTCAAGTCAAAGTAAGCGTCTCCTCTTACTGTCCTTGATACTTCGTCATCATGATGGGAAGCTGACAAATACAGTATTTTACTTTTGAGGTTTTCCTGGGTTGGTATGCATCTGTCTGATTTCTTTTACAGCTTTGGAGTAAGCAATCATAGAAATGTGATTGGAGGACTGAGACGACTCAGTGGGTAAAGTGCATGCAGGCAACCTCAGTTCCTGAGTTCAGATCCCCAGCACCTGCAAAAGAGCCAGGGGCAGCAGCATCAATCTGCCCATCACCACTGGAAAAGTTGAGACAGGCAGGACTTGAAGGTTCACTTGCTAGTCAGTCTAGCCAAAATAGGGGGCTCCAGGTTCAATGAGAGACCCTAGCTAAAAAAATATGGTGGATAAGTGAAAGATATTGGTCATTGACCTCTGGCCTCTACACATACACAGGAGGTGTCTACTCACATGCCTACACTACAAACGCACACACAAGCTTGAAATTTGCTTGGAGAATGTCTTCTCTGATAGGAATTCAGAGTCAGTTATTGTATACAGAAAGAATGCAGGTTGAGTAGTCAGGTTGTGGTGGTGCATGCCTTTAGCCCTAGCACTTAGGAGGCAGAGGCAGGTGGATCTCTGAGCAAGTTCTAGGACACCCAGGACTACACAGAGAAACCTTGTCTTTAAAAACATGATGGCCAAGCAGGCAAGTAGCACCCCTCTGTGGGGACACCAGACCTTGAGCAGAGACCCACTTCCCCATTGGCCTGGGAGTAGGCAGCTGTAAGACAATGTTTACTAAAAACATGTTTACTAAAAACAATACAATGCCCGGGGCAACAAGTTCCTGAAAAGGGCTTGCCCACTGGATCTCGACCTTGTCCAAAAACTAACCGCCTCTTCTGACACACCCAAATCAGTTTGTGGTGTCAGAGCAGAACCAGCCAGGGGTAGAGAGAGAGCAGAAGCCTCTCTGGAGGAAGGCCTTTCCTGGGAAGTTTTCTTGAGCCTTTTTGGGGCCTGCTTAAAGTTTTCTTTACACCGTTGAACCAGTCTCTGTGTTGTCAATCCCCGACACCCTCCGCACGTTCTCGGATACAGGCTGCGCAGCAGACGCAGCACCCCTCAATGACTTCTGCATCAGTTCCTGCCTCCAGGTTCCTGAACTGTTTGATCTCCTGTCCTGACTTCCTTCAGTGAACCCTGATGGACAGTGAAATAAAAGTGTAAACCAAATAAACCCCTTGCTCCCGAACCTACTTTGGTCATGGTGTTTCATCACAGCAATACAAACTTTTAAGACACACCCTATTTCAAAAAGTAGAAAGTAAAGCCCACAAAGCTAAGCAAAACAAACAGTTGTAACTAATCAGATGGGCAAATGGGATAATTAAAATAGAAACCTGGTCTATCAGAAAAGTGAGAAAGGAGAGAAAAGGGAACGAAGAATAATTTTGTGAAATGGAAGACTCGGGTCATCAATTGTAGTCTAACGATTGGTAATTTGATTAATGATGGACTAAATAAAAAGTAAGTATTGTCAGATTAAATTACAAAATAAGATCCAACA